AAACCCCTTTCCCCCTTCCAGAGCCGGTTGGGAGGGTGGGGGCACCCTCAGGGCACTATAGTGGTCCTTTAATGTAGTTTAAAGACACATTACTGGGGGTATTATAGCTGCGGAGCTTTGTTATACACTCAGACACACCAACAATGTGAAGCTCCTAGAAAAGAGGGACACTAGGATAGAAAAGAGGGACAGATATTAATGGGGGATTGCCACTTCTGAGGATTAAAATCTACTTATACCCTTTATCTAAAATACGTATTTGTGAAGTGGAAAAAAATATCTTTATCCTGATATTGGGTGGTTCCATTTTAAAAGCGGTGTTCTCTGCACATGACAAACAGCAAATAGAGAGAGCATACAGCGAAGAGGAGAAATTAAACCATGTTTCTACTTCTCCTACCCTTTGCAGTGTGTGCACTGACTGTGCTTTCTTTTAAAGGGACACTATAGTCACGAGAACAACTACAGCTCTATGGTTCTGGTGTCTACAGCCTGTCGCTGCAGGCATTTTAAACGTAAACACTGCTTCTTTATAAAAATATTTTGTCGAAAACCAGTGGTTCTGCACCAAAAAAGTCCTTGCAGTTGTGTTGGTGCTTACGGTAACCTTTTAAAATGTCCGCACTACTTTACTGAATGCCTGAACAGCCCTAAGCTTTAAATATTATGTGATCTATAAACCTAGTTAGGATACAAATTAACAGAAATAGAAATACTTCAGTATTGAGTCACTTCTAAGCAATATGGATAAAAACAGAATATTTACAGCATCTATTAAATTGAAAAATGAAATTCTGGCATACCTTTCCAACTCCCTTACATCCCCCCCACTCCCCCCTTAGAACAAGTTCAGGGATCTTCTTCCCAGAACCATAGGAATTTTTTTTTTTTTTTTTTGCTGATGTGAACAGTACTAAATCACAGATTTTTAGCACGCGAGGAGGGTTCATAGGCAGGAATGCTGTGAGATGCAATGCTCCGAGATCCTGGAAATTACAGAGATTTAAACATTTCTCTGTAGGTCAGATTTCATACTCTCAGATAAAATGAAGAAACTCACACGCAACTTTGCAACACAGCATTTCAGCTGCAGCACAACACAGTTATTACAGAACACTCATGACACCAAACAACCTTTATATCAGTTTATATCTTTTGGTCTACAAAATTGGCTTTTTTATTCTGTATACCCAGCAAAAAAAACAAAAACAAAAAAACCCTCAATATAAATGATTAGCAACATTTAGGTTCAGATCCGCCCCCCCTTTCCCGCCCACGCATTCTAAGAAACAGAATTCTTGCTGCTTCCTGTACCTGTGTATAGCTGCATTTCAGTCATCTCTCTTCTAACATGCTGCATCCAATCATATGATTTACACAGCCTTCCTAAACACCTCCTGTAAAGAGTCATGTAATGTTTACACTTCCTTTATTGCATATCCTGTTTAATTTGGAATTATCCCTTGCTCTGTTCATAGCCTTCTAGAAATAGAAACCGATTGCTGTGTGTGATTAATATTCAATTTACAAACGTAGGGGATATAAAACTGCTGAAGCAAGTTAATGTTTGATTGAAAATTAAACTTTTTTTTTTCTTCATGCAGTGTGAGAGAGTCACAGCAAGGCAAGGTGTGACTAGTGCTGCATAAACAGAAAAAAAAAGTGATTTAACTCCTTAATGGCAGAGAATTGAGCAGTGAGAATGCAGTAGCGTGATCTATACACCAAAACTGCTTCATTAAACTAATTTGATTAGGTGCCTACTTAGTGTTACTTAGAGGCTGATGATGTAATTTTTGTGGACTTTAATAACTTTAATAGTAAGGATATTAGTATGTTAAATCGCTCTTTGCATCAGTGGCGTACATACCGGGGTCGCAGCTGCGACCGGGCCCAGCCCACCAGGGGGCCCGGCCGCCCCTGTGACCCGGTATGTACCCAGAGTGGTCAGCCTCTGAGGCTGGCCCTGGTGTCACCCGGCGGGCATGCAAGGGGGCACTCTCCCCTCTGTGCTCCCTTGCGCACCTCACTGATACCGGCTCTGGTATCAGTATGCGGCGCGTGAGGGAGCACACAGAGGAGAGTGCTCCCTCGCGCGACAACCAGCACCACTGGACTCCAGGCAATCCCCCTCAGCACTCCAAAAGGTAAGGAGGCTGGGTGATCTCTGAAACTGCTATGTTTTCAGCTGCGGTGTTAAAACTAGAGGGACCTGGCACCCAGACCACTTCATTGAGCTGGTGTGATCTGGGTGTCTGTAGTGGTCCTTTAAGTGTGTGTGCATCTGCATGCACTGGCGTACATACCGCGGTCGCAGGGGTCACAGCCCTTCAACCACTGCGACCAATTGCCCGCCGCCATGTGTTGAGGCCCCGGCCCGCGCAGAGTAAGATCAATTTTCGGATCAATTTTCGCACCGGGGCCCCATGGGTCATGTGTACGCCACTGCTTTGCATAATACATTATCTATACAGGACATTCAAAAGGAAGTCATGCCTAGTGTTGAGAGTAAGTTTAAAGGATCACTACAGGGTCAGGAACACAAATATGTATTCCTGACCCTATAGTGCTAAACCCACCATTTAGGTGGCTTGCGCCCCCCCCCACCCCCCTTTAGCCCTCAAATAAAAGTTTAAAACTCACCTTATTTCCAGCGGTACGTGGGTCCGCTGGCATTGGCTCTGCCCCCTTTGTGACATCATCAAAATGGGCAAGTTTTAGCGAATCCAAAGCTTTTCCATAGGGAAAGCATTGGTTTGGCTAAAATCGGCACGGGGGAGGGGCCAAATGCCATTTTTGCCAATCAGGACCTCCTCATAGAGCTGCATTGAATCAATGCATCTCTATGAGGAAAATTCAGTGTCTGCATGCAGAGTGGGGACGCTGAATGGCAGGGCTGCTTACTGTGCAGCCCTGAGCCAGGAAGCAACTCCAGTGATAAGGCCGTGTTTACATGAAAATGCCTGATGGGAGCTATTATACTCACCAGATCAACTACATTAAGCTGTAGTTGTTCTTGTGACTACAGTGTCCATTTAATTTAAAGTTTGATTCGGAGAAAGCATGTTTGGAATTCTGTGTACTTACACAAATCACTGAAAGATTAATATTAACAACAACATAATTACATTTATTTACCCAGTTTTCATGATCTACCCAACTGCGATAAAGATTTGTGTCCAGAAAACATGGCAACTCTGGCAGCCCTAAATGGCGCAGCCTGTGCCATGAATTCAATGCTTGGTTACCATTTAAATAAAAGGCATCAATAGGAGCAGTCGATACATATTACAAGATAGGAGGGGTAATTAAAACTACTGCCATTTAAAACTCAATGGGAGATGTAGGGTAATGTACAGAGGTTTTAAATATACCCAACCAACTGGAGATAATGGCAAATCAATGAACAAAAACAAAAGTCTACCCTTTTCTTCTGCACTGTGAGCACTACGAGAATGAAAAACGACACACAATAGCCGTATATTCAGAATAAGAAAATCGATTTCTATTTTAACTTGAAACACCATGCTATGTTTACAGTCTCCTTGGACATTCTATGTACAGAATGTTATTAAGCAAATTGCTACAATGAAGTTGCATTGTCATTATACACAGCCCTTACATAACAGAGAGGTAACAGCAGCCACTGTTGGTATAGGAGGTATTGTAATGCAATGCAGGGAGCAGGTCACGGTAAGGTCTATAGCGAGTAGAATGATAATCCAAAAGGTAAACTAAACAAACGTCATGTGACCTTCACAAACGCAGCCACCAGCTGTGCATAGCTCCACAGTGAAACATCAGGACGTACATGTTCTGGGCTGCCTGAAACAGAAGTGCCTGGACCCCAGTTCCAAAGTAAAGAAATATTAATAAAGAAAGAAAGTTGCGTTGCTTTATTTGATGTCCACAATAAATATGTGGAGTTTTGACCTAATACGAAGCCTTTGTTGACATCAATGATAGCATGCAATACTAGCTGCTGTTCAGGCGTGTTACTCTCATCAATCACAGGCAGCCCTGGATAATCTAAAGTAACACTATAACATTAGGGATATAAATCTATTTTCCTAATGCTACAATTTTCTTGTCCTTAGACTGATAAAAAAATAAAAAATGTAACGATCCAGCCAAGCCATTGAACAGGCATCACTCTTCATAACAATACAAAGGGGCATTTAGGACCCAAAGGGTGTATGTGGCATAAGCCACAGGTGTATCCAATCAAATGCTTTTCATAGGAAAACATTGAATGCAGTGCTTTCCTTTGAGCTGTATTATATGACATTTGACAACCTGGATGTTGAATGTCACATGCCCGAGTCAAACTCTGTTCTTAAAGCGGAAGTTCCTCTGCTGGTTGTCACTAGGACTGTCACTACACAAACGTTGCTGTATCTGCAAAATGGAAATATTTAGCCATTGCACTCACACCACTTCACTGAGATGCAGCGCTCTGGGTGACTATAGCGGTCCTCGAAGCACGCTGCACTAAGAAGGAAGTTAGAAGATGAGTGTTCACATTCCATAGTGCTTTTACACCTCACACAATAAATAATAAAAATAATAATCAGCAATGGTTAAACCAGCAGTTCCCAAACTGTGTGCTGCGGCGCTGCGATGTGCACAGAGGGGTGTAGCGGAATATTTCCCCGGTGCTATGATTATAGCACCGGGGGAAATATTACTGCTGAACAGGTGCCTGGTCGGGGGCCGAAGTCCTTTAAGACGGCGACCGGGCCCCTGTAATGTTGTCTGGCTGGGAGGATGTGACAGCCTGTCACTTCCTCCCAGCATCCTGCAGGGAGATGGCGCAAGAGCATGAAGAGCTCAAGACCGCTCACTCCCACAGCAGCAGGACTCCAAGCCACCCTCCTGGCACATAAGGTAAGCTGAAAAGAAAGTGGATGGAGATTTAAAAAAAAACAAAAAAACAAGTGAGTGTGTGTCAGGGTGTTTGGGAGTAATATATATATACACACACACACACACACACACACACAAAAATATATAAATAAGGTGCACTCACAGGTCTTCAAAAGTGCTTCTTTTATTTTACATGCAAATTACATGTGGTTTTTTTTGCACATGTAATTTGCATGTAAAATAAAAGAAGCACTTTTGAAGACCTGTGAGTGCACCTTATTTATATATTTTTGTATTTATAACGCTAAGGTTTGCACCCAGGCAATATTTATCTGGATATTTGCAGTAAAGGGTGAGTGCCAAGTTCTATCTCTTTTTATATATACTCATACTCTCACACACATATATAAACATATACACACATACACTCCCAAACACACTGACAGTGTGTTTCTATGTCTGCACACACATCTGTGTATGTGCATCTGTGTGTCAGGGTATGTGTTTTTCTGCCAGTGTGTGTATGTGTCAATGTTTGTGTGTGTCAGGGTGCATATGTGTATATGTCGTGTGTGTATGTGTCGGTGTCTGTATTTGTCGGAGTATTTATATGCATCTGTGTAAGTATGTATGTATGTATATATATCCAAGCAGTCAAACACCAGCACAACATACAAGCACACTTCTGCAGTCTAACTCAAATATTACATACAAACACCCCTGCATTCAAACTAGAAAACACATATAAATAAATACAAGCACCCCCCTTCACTCATACACAAATACTTCACACAAATGTACATCCGCATTAAAAAGTGAACATTACATTCAGACACACCCCTGCAATCAAACGCAAACATTACATACAAAGACACCCCTGTATTAAAACACAATAACTATATACAGGCACCTCAGCAAACACCAACGCTGTACATTACACTATAGCGCCAGTAAATGCCGCAGCGCTGTACAGATACGCATCCTAGAAATTTTGACTTGGGGTGCCTTGGAAAAATACTTAAATATTAAGGGCACCTTGAACCTAAAAAGTTTGGGAACCACTGGGTTAAACCATTCTGGCACTCCATATATTACATCATGTGTTTGTTAGTTTGAAATAGGAACAGAGTTGGTTCCAGATTCCATGAGAGTTCTCTATAAAGAATGCTCCTGGGGTAAAAGTTCTCTGTGCGGGTTAATCAATGTAAACAACCCATTGGTTTCCACACTGATAAGATCTTTTCAAGAACTTTGTCCCCCAAATACATTTGATACATAACTTTAATAATGAATCCAACTGTTGGCGTGGCACATAGACGAGTCTACACTAAACGGGACCTATATTGCTTATGCAATTCTATAAACACACTAACTACCAAACATTGTACGTTCTACCTTCTACACAAACTAGATTACCCGGAGGAGGATACACATACTGGATTAGGTTCCGCACGGCTTCTCAGATATTCCAATAATGTCGTTTTTCCCTTACATACTCACATTCTATACTTACCATCCATATACAAGCAGAGTTTCCGACCTCCACAATGAACCTATTGCCTGCTGGCCATGTATTCTAGTTACTAGTTTTATTTTAACACCTTAGGTGCTGGACCAATGTACACTGACATAAAAATACATTATGTTTTACTTAAATGGGCACTGTGGAAGCAGCACATATTAGCAGTAGGGACGTGAATTATATTCTATTTGATTGGCAAAGCAACATGAGAGTTGTAGTTAAAAATATCTGGGGATCTACATTTTAGGCAATCCTACGCTAATGTATTTTTATTGAATTTTTTTTTTTTTTTTTAATATCAGAAATGTGACTAGTCATTCAGCTCCACTTACAAGTTGTGAAACTTACATTCCAGTCATTTGATTGCTTAACCTCCAATACTTACATCCTGCCACACATTCGCTTTGAAAGCTTCACACGGCCTGACATCTCTGCTTCAAGAGCAGTGTGTTTACATGTGGGACACCACCGACTATATGACCCAGAGACAATTGGTGACACAACGATACATAGTCATCAAAGCTGAATCACTGTTCAACCTACTTGAAAAGCTGTATATGTAAAATTATATTTCTGGAGTCTTCAAAAAGGAAATTACACTCAAGAAAAAAAAAATCACACTAGAGAATATTAAACACACTACATACAATGGGTCTCCTCCTGTCTTTAGACTTTAAGACAGGTTCATTTGTAAACTTTGACATGGTTTTTGGGCTTCATTTTCCATAATTCTCTTCCACAGTCAGAGAACCAACTTTGGTAGGTTGTAGAGTGAATGCTTTAAAGGACCACTATAGGCACCCAGACCACTTCAGCTTAATGAAGTGGTCTGGGTGCCAGGTCCACCTAGGATTAACCCTTTCTGCTGTAAACATAGAAAAGAAACTGCTATATTTACAAATGGGTTAATTCAGCCTCTAGTGGCTGTCTCATTGACAGCCGCTAGAGGTGCTTCCGCCAACGTCCATAGGAAAGTATTGAGAATGCTTTCCTATGGACTGGCTGAATGCGCGGCGGGAGCGGGACCCTGAGGGTGGGGGCACTTTAGTGCCAGGAAAACGAGTATGTACTATTGTGGTCCTTTAATGCTGTACTGGTTGAGAGTAATGTGTGTACCCCATGCTGTAATTTTGCGGGAATCTGGAGAGATACAATCCATCACTTCTTAAATGCAGGTACCTTCTGAACCCAAAATCCAAGTCTTTGCTAATCCTAAATCTCAATAATCCCAAGGACAAAACTGTGCCATTATTGTGCCACCCAATAGACACTCAACCTTTAAAATCTACTATTTTAAATACATGCTGGTTACAGACTGATGTTTATTCCTATTACAAAAATAAACAAAAGTTGGAAGATAGTGAGTACAATCTACCGCCCTCCACCCAAAGGTAATAGTGCTGGGTGTATCCACTACTCTTCTGTACCGCAAGGAGACTCCAGGGGCTTAACCCCAACGTCAGTAATTCACAAAACAACAACAAGAATGCCACTGGTCTCAGTGCAAACAAAGCCCTGAGACCAGGTGCATTCACTGGATATATATCTAGCAATGTAGAATCCGTATTGCAATTAACTGGCTAATACATCTTAAAAAACAACTTGTACCTAGGGGCTTGAGGGTACAAAATATCCCAGTGTCAAATATAGAAGAAGATGAGTTCATAAAAGAGTGGGAGGAAGCGGCAGGGATATGTTCCAGGAGATTCATGGAAATTTGAATCAAAAAGATTAGAAACAATAAACAAAGAAGTGAACAAATTAATAAAATCGAAAAATTTAAGAATGCATCTAACTTTGAAGCATTAGAGACCAAACTCAAGAACAACTTAGACAAATTCCAACAAAACATTAAGTTTCATAAACATTCTAAGTTCATCAGGGATAATAATGATTTTAAAAGTGGGAACGTTTCTAGGAAGAGAAAAAGAACTAGGAAGAGCTTCTCTGAGCCAATTTCAACTTCTGAATATGAAACCAGCGGCTCCGATTCAGACTCAAATATGAACACCCCATGAACGTAACACTAAAAGTATCCTCAAAAGAGGGATGACTTTTTTAGGAGTCCCGAACATGGAGGACAGCCTAGCACCGCAGACACGGAGCCGTGCGAAAACCACAGAAAATGGGCTTAAAACATCTCAGAGAAATTCTGGGTTCGGTATACTAGACAATCAATGTGTGCAGGATTTAATGATGTTTATCCTGACACATAACTATTTTATGTTCCAGGGTAAATACTACCACCAGGTGAGAGGGACAGCTATGGGGATGGCTTGTGCCCCCTCATATGCCAACCTCCACCTGGGTTGGTGGGAGAAAATTATGGTGTTTAACAAAAACATGGAGAGGTATACTAGACATATTAAATTATGGAAGATATATATCGATGACGTCTTGATCATATGGACAGACACAACAGAGATCTTCCCAGAATTTGTTACGACTCTTAAAGTCAATGACATCAACCTGAGACTGGACAGTGAAATAGGGGGAAAAGTAATTAATTTCCTGGATATTACTATCAAGATGACAGATGATGGGCATCTTACCTCCACACTATTTCGCAAACCAACAGCGACCAATAATCTGTTAAATTGGGAAAGTTATCATTCCCCTTCCCTTAAAAAGGGTATACCTATTGGTCAGTATTTACACCTTTGGCGCAATTGCTCTACAATAAAGGACTTTAAATTTAAGGCCAAGACCTTACGACAAAATTTCAAACAAAAGGGGTACCCAAATAGATGCATTAAAAATGCATACAAACGTGCACTCCTTGCAGACCGCAAAGATCTTTTAGCAGAGGACACTAATTCAAAACCATTACAAGAAATCATCAGATGCATAGGGAACTTTGATGCCGGATGGCATTAAATTATTAAGATTTTAGAAAGATTTTGGCCCCTATTGCAACGAGATCCACACTTACGTAAAGTGATTACACCTTGTGCCTCTGTGACTGCAAGAAGGGGATGGAATTTAAAAAAGACATTCTTGTCCCAAGTCACCTTAAGAGCACACCCCAGAAATCAACTTGGCTAAAGTCTCCAGTACTAGGTACATACCAGTGCGGAAGATGTAAGGCTTGTAAATTTATATGTCGACCCTCAAAAACTTTCCCAGACTCCTCATACACCCAGGAATTCAACGTTAAAAAAAAACCTCAAGGTTTGGTCTATTTACTTACATGTTCCTGTAATAAACTCTATGTGGGTAAAACATCCCGCAAATTCAAGCTTAGAATACTGGGACATGTTAATTCAGTGAACCGTAGAAGACTGATCGACACTCCAGCCTCTAAACACCTTAAACTACACCATGATGGGTCATCAGATTCTGTGGCATAGAGAAGGTTACACTGGGACCAAGGGGTGATGATCTAGACAAAAGGGAAAGCTTTTGGATCTATAAACTTAAGACACTTTCACCCCTTGGTCTCAATGAAGGTTTTTCGTATACATCATTCATATCAGACTAGGAGTGTAGTATATGGAGAAGCTCAAATCCGGTCATCAGGAAGGCTCCCCCCCATACGTACATCATGTAAATATTAATATCTTCATTTGTAAATATGTCTGATACACTTGTAAATTATGTAATATAGCATTTGTAGTTCGTTATGGTCCTTTATTAGGACATGGATACCTGTACTTGATATATACTATGAAACATATTAAGTTTTGGTTAAGTTTTGGTTCTGCTCACAAATATCACACATACCAAATATAGGACAACAAACCTTCCCAGACAATGGTTGTAGATA